AAGGACTTAAGTATAAAGAAAATACTTTGAAAATGATGATGGCAACATATGTACAAATATGTTTGACACAATGGATGTGTATATGGATTGTGATAAGAGCTGTAAGAGCCCCCAATAAAATGATTTTTAAAAATTTATTGCAAAAGAAAAGATGTCTTGCTGCAAATCATACTAGCCTTTACTTAAAAAAAATATATCAAAATATGACACTATTATTTTTTAAGGGCTATCTCTACATCTACCCCCCCTTTTTGTTGGTGTGTAGCTTGTGTGTTGCTGTGATGCAGGAAGCTATGGCAGGAGGGTCACACATAGTAAACAGATTTCAGCAGAGCTTCCAGACCAAGAATAGCCTATGAAGAAGGAATTGCCTGACCCTGACCATTTTAGAGGAAGCAGCAGCTGAAGACCTTAACCCTAGCATGGAAACATTGTCAGATAGTGGAGGCCTACTAACTGGAAGTAGACCATTGTCAAAGAGAGTCCTGGAGGATAGGCCTCTTGGGTCTGAAGGAATCAACAGTGTGACCGAGGAGCATAGTTCCCTGTGGTGACTTGACTGGAGTTAAGTCTGTGCTAGTGCAGGCTTTGGGATCTTCATTTGCTGATGGAGGGCATGACTCAAGATGAGAAAAACAGCTGGAAACTCTACTAATAATCTGACATGATACAGGAAGTGTGAATCTAGGAAAATTGGAAGTCACCAAAAATGAAATGGAAACATAAAGACGGGTATCATAGGCAATAGTGAGTTGATATGGACTAGCGCTGGCCATTCTGAATCAGAGAATCATATGGCTTACTATGCAAGGATGACACAATCAAGAGGAATGCATATTTTTGCATTCATCATCAAAAAGGACATTGCAAGATCTATCTTGCAGTATAATACTATCTGTATTAGGATTATGTCTATCTACCTTCAAGGAAATTCAATCAATACAATTATTATTCAAATGTGTATACCAACCGCAAAAGTTGGTGATGAAAAACCTGAAGAATTCTAACATTTTCGGTCTGAAATTGATCAAATATGCATGAAGATGCATTGATCATTATTGACAATTGGAATGGAAAAGTTGGAAACAAAGAGGAAGAGACAGTAGTTGGAAATTATGGTTTTGGTGGTAACAATGCATCAGGAGATCACGTGATAGAATTTTGCAAGACCAATGACTTATGCATAGTGAATACCTTATTTTTCAACAACGCAAATGGTAACTTCTTCAGATGGAATACTTAGAAACCAAAGTGACTACATCTGTGGGAAGATTTGATGGAGAGGCTCAAAATCAGCAGCTAAAACCAGGCCAAGGAATAATTGTGCATAAGATCATCAGTTGCTTATATGTAAGCTCAGACTGAAGTTGAATAAAATTCTAACCAGTCGATGAGAGCCAAAATATTATCTTGAATCTACCCCACTTGAATTTTGCAAACATCTCAGAACAAGTTTGTTGCATTGAACATTAATGAAAGACCTGCTTAGCTGTGGGAAGGCATCAAAATCATCATTCACCAATAAAGCAAAAGATCATTAGATAGACAAACAAGGAAGGAAGACAGGAAGAAGGAAGGAAGGAAGGAAGAAAAGAAAGGAAAAGGGTTTAGGTGTATGTCAGAAGACACTCTGAGACTTGCTCTTAATCATAAAATGGCTAAGGCAAATTGGAGAAATGATGAAGTCAAAGAAGTGAACAGA